ATGGAGTGGCTCGACGATCAAACCGAGAGTCAGGGATGACTGAACAAATATTACGTCAGGTAATATTTGTTAGTTTTACAGTTTTTGTGAGAGTTTAATGACGTGCACAATGGTGGTTTGTAATGTTATCGGATTACTTGCCGAAGTGGCGTGATGAGCAGTGGTTGTGATATGATTCAATTCCGGACAATATTGTAGTGTTTAAGTCTTCCTGTTGAGCTAAAGTTGAAATGCATCTTAAGTTAGATCTTTTCTCAACATTTTAAACGGGTTTTTTCAAGCATATAGCTTTTTTGGTTGGTATTAATCGACTTTAGATAACCGATTTAAGGATGTACATTGATGACGCGTTCGTTGGATATATGGCCTTGACTTCAACATGGACGCACAGTGAACAAATGTGGTGAATTAATAAGGAAATCAATGATACTTTAACGTTTTGGTATTCCTGGAACGGAAATGGTTTGCATTGTACTGGAAATGTGTGAACATAGGACATAATAAATATTCCCTTCGAGTTTTGATGTAAAATTATTGCAGATGAATAAAAACGTATTTTTAACAAATGTTTGTCCGGTCTTTATTTTATAATGTTCCTAGCAAAAACATGTTCATCTTGGCTGTCTACCCGATTAACACGTGTTCCTTGAGGGGAAAGGTCCCCGTAGTTAATCGTTCATCAACGTACCAGTCCCTAATCCCGAAGTATGTCGGGGATAAACTGTACTCTATAACATTTAAACTGTAATAATATAAACGATAACGCTAAATTATAAACTAGTATTCGAATCACTCCGTGGTCCTCTTCGAATCACACTAGTGTTTATAATTGTAAACGGAGGTAAGGTATTATAATTTGATTAGAACCATTAGATTATGAATCGTTACAATTATTATAACAATCACAAATTGTAACAAAGCGAAATTCCCACAAGCAAAACACCACGCTCACGTGACGAATTCTTAAACAAATTGCTACACTCAAGTGACAGAACTCAACAAAAAAACGCCGCAATAAAAAGAACAACATCAATAGACAAATCGTAAAAACAGACAACACACGCACGTTAGTAGCGGTTGGAAGACAACACCTAGCACCTTCAACTATACACATCATACAGCCAACTCGTAAATGGAGCGGTATATGACAGCCTTCGCTGCTGTCGACGGGGCCAAGCAGCGAGTGTTTAACGCCATTGTTTCAGAATCCGTGTCATCACCCGGTCACAGCGCCTTACCCAAACTGCATCTCCCCAACAAGGCAGCCTTCCCTATGCTGTGTATTTTAGCAGTTTATTTACGGACGCACTTGAAGATAACAATTCGTCTCGAAAAGGCAAGCGACTTGTTCTATCAACACGATTTCAAATTTATATCCGAAAGAAGTATGAGTTCATTCATGAGTAGTATTCACTAAGCCCCGATGGCACTAACCTACACACAGCTATGATTAAACAAAGTAAACATTAGTCGCTCATCCCAGCTCAGACATGATCATAGCAATTATTTCCAAATCCGTGTCGGGTCCCACGAGAACAGGGCACGGCCACAAACTCTCAAATTGAAGAAGAAGTCGCTGCTTTGCCATCGAATGGTTTCGTAGCTGCTGTAGTTGCTTCTGTTACTGTTATATCGGCAGCATGTTGGTGTCCCGTGACACCAACCTACCAACGCCATCGATCGTCGTCTTGGATATACTCTCACATTGTAAATTCTCACACTGTGAACTTTAACATTATGAACTTCAACAATGGTAACTTAAAAACATTCACATATACATTTGAAAAATCTACAAATTACTGTAAACTAGTATGTGAACTCTAACAATATAACATATGAGCTATACATTATAACACTATACAATAACATTATTAACTAGTGCTATAGATTAGAACAACCTACCTTGAAGTGTGATTTTCGAATCGCATTCGAATTATTCGAATCACTCCGTGGTCCTCTTCGAATCACACTACAGTCGTAAGAATGTAACATGTATGTATGTAACATGTCTGTTTGTAACATGTCTGTTTGTAGTAAGTATATGTGCATGTAACATGTATGCATGTAACATGTATGTATGTAACATGGTACATGTATGCATGTAACATGTATGTATGTAACATGTATGTATGTAATATGGACGTGCGAACCAAGGGTGGGTTATGTGAAACGGAAGGTGCAGGATCAGGATGGGATTACAATTATTTGAATAACACTTTGGTGGTATTAGGATCAAGCTGTCCACTGCGGGATGAATGTTCCATCTCAATGGCATCACATAGCAATATTCAGTATGTATATATAAAAAATTTGCACAGACCCAAAATAAGCCCGTGCAATTATGAATCGTTACAATTGTAATGACTCGTTTGATAAAAGTATTTGATCAAAGTTTGTTATCCCATCACGGAACACCACTGGAACTATTCTTTGGTTCTTTCGGTTAAGTCACGTCTAAAGATAAAATAATAAATTAAAATAATAGCATATTACGACGTTTCAATTGCAATACAAGCAATCATCATCAGGCATAAAAGTAATTGCAACAAAAATCTAACTCGAAAACTATAGACAGACATACAAGCAGACAGACATCACAAGGACACACAGAGAGAGGACACATATCGGCACAAAGAGAGGGGTCGTTTCTGTGACGGTCCCTTAAATATAGAGAGGGGGGGCGGGGACGGAGAGAGGGAGGGGGCAGATAAAATTAGCATATCAATGAGTGGACGGCAACGTGATGCTGCTGCGCAAGTAAGATTGGTGATAATAATTCGTCTGGACGTGGCACGTGCCTTGTTCTACTCGATCAACAAAAATTAGTACAATGTCCGTCATAAGGGAGTGCGTTTTCATTCATGAGTAGTCTTCGCTGATCCCCGATTATACAAACCAACACGCAGTTATGTTTACACAAAGTAAACTTTATTCGCTCAAACCTCAGCTCAGACATGATCATAGTATTCATTTCCAAAGACGTGTGGTGTCCCGCGAGAGCAGGGCCCGGCCACAAATAGCCGGGCAGCAGAAGCAGCATGTCCTTTAGATTGCACTCTCATACTCACAGGCCCTTTGGATTGTACCCGTTGGGTTGCACTCCCTCGTTGAGAAGGCCGCTCTCCTCCCTTTCTAAAGTTACATGCTAATTTCTCATGTGAACATCACTAGCCCCGGCCACTTCTTTATGACAAGAGGTCTACACCCATTTCAAACCTTTTAAAACATTCTGCCTCAGCAGCAGACCATGCTTTTACACATGACGGACGCTTGTGTTGCGCCTGAAACGTCGTGATTTATTGAATGCCTATGTGTCTTTTACTGAAATAACCAAAGAGTATATAATATTATAAACTATAACCTATCAATTATTACTCTGTAAAATACTATTAATTGTTAGTGTATAATCACGTAAATGGAGGTATGGGATTATAATCGCATACGAATCATTGAATCGCACTGTGCTCATATTAGAATCAGAATGTGGTAGTACGTATGGTAAGTGAATATGCAAACACGGGGGTAGGATATGCAGGATTAGAATCGAATTACAATTATTCGAATCCCACTCGTATTAGAATCACACTGTGCACTGTTGGATGAATGTGTCGTATCAATGGAATCGAATCGCTATATACAGTATATATACACGTACAAAGATTATAACAATCACACATTATAACATTTATACAACGCACATTATTTTAAAAACGCATTTAAACATTTCCATTCATTTTTTTTTTACTGAGAATGTCGTTGTCCATGTGGGGAGATGGAGCGCAGTGGATCGTATCGTCTAAGCTGCTTTTAGGAATCCGTGTGATACCCCAGTCACATCGCCTAACTCCAGTGACAGCACCTTACCCAAACTACATCTCCCCAACAAGGCAGCCTTACCGATGCTGTGTATTGTGTTTGTGGGATAACAAAGGTGTGTATTTTCCCATGCGCCTTGCCCAAAACGACTGATTGTCCGCTTAACAGCCTAGCCTGTAAACCACCATTGGTGATAGTATTGTGTGAGAGCAGCTATTAAAGTCGCTTTGGCAAACGAGTTGGTGGCTGGCCAAACCATGCCTCGCTGTTTGTCTCCGGAGTGATGACGGATACCAACCAGACCAAGCGGAGACCATGTACCAAATCGGATTTTGGTAACTGATGTTAGAGTGATTGTATTGCAAGTGTGCTCACTACGCGTCTGTATGTGCTCACTCCCGAAGCTCGGCGATTTTTGGCAACGCCACGGGGCTGCATTCACTTTAAATCGAAGACAATGGAGGGCATGGAGAACGTGTTTTTCCATTTATTCAAAATAAGCGCATAATTACACACCGAGATGCACTTACATATTCATGCATGAAGCACAATGGGCACATTACCCTTCGGTATGTTAATAGACATGCGGATTGTGCCTTCAAAAATTAACAATCGAATGCAAATATCATGGAAGACAAAGGATTGGATCCTAGGGGGGGAGTTATAAGGCGGCTCAGAAGCAGAGCTCAATGCCATTTCGAGAGGGAACTTGATGAGGTTGGACGCTCGACTCGTCGCTCTGCTGATCGCCCTTCAACCGCGAGACAACGCAGCCTGGCGAGCACAATTGCTGCGTCGACAGTTAGGCGACTTTGCGTCGGGAGAGTTCGTGGCGACATCTTCAGACGGGTTCCAGACATCGATATACCGTGAATCTCCAAGTAAGTGTCTATTTTCGCGGATAAAATCTTAAACGTGTTCGTCGTCAAATTTACGGGATTTTTTTTGCGTCTCGGTTAGACGCGAGTGTCGTTCTTGTTATAGCAGTTAACAAAATCCAAAACTCAACGCTAAACATCATTGCGGCCGATAGCGTACTTTTGACTCGATAACACCGCTGCTGTTACTACGCTCACATGGAGCAGAGACGCTCTCCACAGCCCCACGCACACGGAGACAAGAAGTCATTTAATTGCTCTGTATGTGGGAAGACATTTTCATGGCCATCACATCTTCAGAGACACCAGAGAACACACACGGGCGAGAAGCCATTCATGTGCCCTGTGTGTGGGAAGGCATTTGCACACTCATCAACTCTTCAAGATCATAAGAGAACACACACGGGCGAGAAGCCATTCCTGTGCTCTGTGTGTGGGAAGAAATTTGCACACTCATCAACCAGGAATAGGCATCAGAAGGTCCACAATGATAGGAAACTGAAATCAAAAGCTGAAATTCAAGGTGCTGCAATGAGTCCTGAAGAAGTTTCCACCTTCGATCCCATGCAGTTGGATCCCGAGAGATGGCTGGATGTAATGGAGTGGCTCGAGAGTCAACCAGAGAGCTCGGGGTGACTGAAAAAATATTACGTTATGTGGTTATACCTATTAAGCCGTTTCGAGTACTTTTGTGTGTAATTTTGACCATTTTAGTTTTACAGTTTTTGTGAGAGTTTAATTACGTGCACAGTGGTGGTTTGTAATGTTATCGGATTACTTGCCGAAGTGGTGTGATGAGCACTGGCTGTAGTCGTTAGGTGTTCCTGTTGAGCTAAAGTTGGAATGCGTCTGTAGGTACATCTTTACTCAACATTTTAAACGGTTTTTTTTCGAGCATATAGCTGTTTTTATTGGTATTAATCGACTTTAGATAGCCGATTTCAGGATTACATTGATGACGCGTTCGTTGGATATATGGCCTTGACTTCAACATAGACGAACAGTGAACAAATGTGGTGAACTAATAAGGAAATCATGGGGAATGATACTTTAACGCTTTGGTATTCCTGGAACGGAAATGGTTTGCATTGTACTGGAAATGTGTGAACATAGGACGTAATAAATATTCCCTTCGAGTTTTGACGTAAAAATGATTGCAGATGAATAAAAACGTATTTTTAACAAATGTTTGTCCGGTCTTTATTTTATAATGTTCCTAGCAATAACATGTTAAGATAATTTCAGGTGCAGGATCTCCGTCACACAAGTGTGCCCTTAACCGGCAGCATCTTGGCTGTCTACCCGATTAACACGTGTTCCTTGAGGGGAAAGGTCCCCGTAGTTAATCGTTCATCAACGTACCAGTCCCTAATCCCGAAGTATGTCGGGGATAAACTGTACTCTATAACATTTAAACTGTAATACTATAAAAGATAACACTAAACATTAAACGATTGTAAACTAATGTTCTAATTTATAACCATATAAACGGAGGTATGGTATTATACTATCATTAGAATAACAGTGTGGTCGTATAAGAATCACGCACAAACCCATTATGAACTCATGAGATTATGAATCGTTACAATTATTATAACAATCACAATTTGTGACAAAGCGAATTTCCCACAAGCAAAACACCACGCTCACGTGACGAATTCTTAAACAAACTGCAACACTCAAGTGACAGAACTCAACAAAAAAACGCCGCAATAAAAAGAACAACATCAATGGACAAATCCTAAAAACAGACAACACACGCACGTTTGTAGCTGTTAGAAGAAAACAACACCTAGCACCTTCAACTATACACATTATACAGCCAACTCGTAAATGGGGCGGTATCTGACAGCCTTCGCTGCTGTCGACGGGGCCAAGCAGCGAGTGTTTAACTCCATTGTTTCAGAATCCGTGTCATCACCCGACCACAGCGCCTTACCCAAACTACATCTCCCCAACAAAACAGCCTTCCCTATGCTGTGTATATTAGCAGTTTATTTTCGGACGCACTTGAAGATAACAATTCGTCTAGAAAAGGCAGGCGACTTGTTCTACCAACATGATTTCAATTTATATCCGAAAGAAGTATGAGTTCATTCATGAGTAGTATTCACTAAGCACCGATGGCACTAACCTACACACAGCTATGATTAAACAAAGTAAACAGTCGCTCATCCCAGCTCAGACATGATCATAGCAATTATTTCCAAATCCGTGTCGGGTCCCACGAGAACAGGGCACGTTCACAAACTCTCAAATTGTAAACTCACATTGTATACTCTAACATTATAAACTCTAACAATATAACCTTCAAACTATGAGCTATACACTGTAACGCTTAAAAATAACACTACAAACTAGTGTTATAGTAAACTATAATGTTGTGAACTCTAACAATATAAGCTAACAGCGATACATTATAACGCTATAAAATAACATCATAAACAAGTGTGATATTCGAATCTCATTCGAATTCTTTGCTTCACACCGTGGTCCTCTAAGAATCACACTATGCTCGTGAGTATGTAACATGTCTGTATGTAATATGCATGAATGTAATATGTATGTATGTAACATGTCTGTATGTAATATGTATGCATGAGATATGTCTCTATGTAGTATGTATGCATGTAACATGTATGTATGTAATATGGACGTGCGAACCAAGGGTGGGATATGTGAAGCGGAAGGTGCAGGATCAGGATGGAATTAAAATTATTTGAATAACACATTGGAGGTATTAGGATCAAGCTGTCCACTGCTGGATGAATGTTCCATCTCATTGGCATCAAATAGCAATATTCAGTATGAATATGTAAAACAATCGCACAAACCCAATATTAGCCCGTGAAATAATGAATCGTTACAATTGTAATGGCTCCAGACTCAGACTGCAGAGGGTTCTTTTATTTAGCCTTTAACGCGGTTTCAGACCCCAGGCGTCACGATGTAGCAACGACGACGACGAGACAGCAACCAGCCAACACAGCCCCAAACCTCGTTCCTCCCCCTCTCTCATTCTCGGCGTGAACCTCCGCCCACACTTGGTCTCGCCTTCCCTTCTCGAACTCTCTCTATCTTGTTGTCACCACTTGTCCCTTAGTTGACGCACTGTCTTTACATCACCCACCTCTATGACCTCTACCTGTCCCCGCCATGGGCGGAGCAACTTGGATTTTCCCGGTGGCATCTGTAGGCAATACAACCATGCCCTGTCCCCGACCAACCATGGAAGCACGTGTTCCCGCCGGCCCGAGTTCTTTTCATTAGCGGCTTGCGCTCTGGTGGGGAAAGGTCCTCGTTATGAATCGTTTCGCGACGTTCAGGTCCAGAATACCGAAGTATACCGGGAATCACCTGTACTTAAAAACACGTAAACTGATAACACTATAAACAATAACACTCAACATTAAACGACAATAAAAATATCAACTGGTTTTATAATTTATAGCACCATAAACGGAGGTACGGTATTTAAATCTCATTAGAAGTATTACAATCGCACTCTACACATATGTATGTAAATTATCTGTTAAATCGAACCGGGGGTCGAATATGTGAACTGTGGGGGGTACAGGGCAAGAATCGCATTCACATTTTAGAATAACAATATTGTCGTATTAGCATTTCACTGTGCTTGAATGTATGTTACGTGCAAATGCAAATCGTCAGTCGTAAATGCGAGGGAGGGGTTAAGAGGTACACGTTTAATCCAGTGTTAACATTTATTTTAGCATCATATTTAACGACATTGTTGTTGATAATAATTCGTCTGGACATGTCATGTGACTTGTTCTACTCGATCAACCAAAATTATTACAATGTCGGTCATACAGGAGTGTGATTTCATTCATGAGTAGTATTCACAGAGCCCTTATGACACTAACCTACCTAAAGTTATGGTTAAACAAAGTAATCTTGAGTGACTTAATTATCAGCTCAGACATGATCATCGCAATCATTTCCAAAGACGTGTGGGGTCCTGCGAGAGCAGGTCCCGACTACAAAAAGCTGGGCAGCAGAATCGGAAGTAGCTGCGTCGCCCTCGAAATGTGATGTTGCTGCTGTTGTTGTCGCTGCTGTTGTCGCTGCTGTAGTTGCTTCTGTTGCTGTAATAAACGCAAGGAGGTGGTGTTCCGTGATGGGATGACGCCTTTGATTAAAGCCTCTGATCAAACTCACCCGCTTGACGCCCTTGATTGTCGCATTTGATCAACTCTGATATTGTATACTCTCACATGTTAAGCTCTATCATAGTGAAACATAATATTATAACCTATGAACTACAACCTATCCATTGTAACGCTGTAAAAGAATATTACCTATTGGGTTTCACTCCCTCGTCGAGAAGGCCGCTCTCTTCCTTTTCTAAAGTTACATGCTAATTTCTCTGCATTCACTTTAAATGGAGGACAATGTTTTTCCATTTATTCAAAATAAGCGCACAATTACACACTGAGATGCACGTACATATTAATGCATGAAGCACAATGGGCACATTATTCTTCGGTATGTTAATAGACATGCGGATTGTACCTTCCAAAATTAACAATCGAATGCAAATATCCTGAAAGACAAAGGATTGGATCCTAGGGGGGGAGTTATAAGGCGGCTCAGAAGCAGAGCTCAATGCCATTTCGAGAGGGAACTTGATGAGGTTGGACGCTCGACTCGTCGCTCTGCTGATCGCCCTTCAACCGCGAGACAACGCAGCCTGGCGAGCACAATTGCTGAGTCGACAGTTAGGCGACTTTGGGTCGGGAGAGTTCGTGGCGACATCTTCAGACGGGTTTCAGACATCGATATACCGTGAATCTCCAAGTAAGTGTCTATTTTCGCGGATAAATTCTTAAACGTGTTCGTCGTCAAATTAGCGGGATTTGTTTTTTCTCTCGGTTAGACGCGAGTGTCGTTTTTGTTTTAGCAGTTAACAAAATCCAAAACTCAACGTTAAACATCCTTGGGGCCAATAGCGTACTTTTGACTCAATAACACCGCTGCTGTTACTACGCTCACATGGAGCAGAGAGGCTCTCCACAGCCCCACGCACACGGAGGCAAGAAGCCATTCAATTGCTCTGTGTGTGAGAAGTCCTTTTCACGGTCATCACATCTTAAGAAACACCACAGAACACACACGGGCGAGAAGCCGTTCCTGTGCCCTGTGTGTGGGAAGACATTTGCACGGTCATCACATCTTCAGAGTCACCAGAGAACACACACGGGCGGGAAGCCATTCCTGTGCTCTGTGTGTGGGAAGGCATTTGCAGACTCATCAACTCTTTATAGTCATCAGAGAACACACACGGGCGAGAAGCCATTCCTGTGCCCTGTGTGTGGGAAGACATTTTCCAAGTCATCAAATCTTCATAGTCATCAGAGAACACACACGGGCGAGAAGCCTTTCCTGTGCCCTGTGTGTGGGAAGACATTTGCAGACTCATCAACCATGAACAGGCATCAGAAGGTTCACAATGATAGGAAACTGAAATCAAAAGCTGAAATTCAAGGTGCTGCAATGAGTCCTGAAGAAGTTTCCACCTTCGATCCCATGCAGTTGGATCCCGAGAGATGGCTGGATGTAATGGAGTGGCTCGAGGATCAAACCGAGAGCTCGGGGTGACTGAAATATAATGTTGCATGTGGTTATACCTATTAAGCCGTACCGAGTACTTTTGTGTGTAATTTTTGAGAGTTTAATGACGTGCACAGTGGTAGTTTGTAATGTTATCGGATTACTTGCTGAAGTGGTGTGATGAGTACTGGTGGTGAGAGGGTTCAATTATAGTAGTTTGGTGTTCCTGTTGAGCTAAAGTTGGAATGCGTCTGTAGATACATCTTTACTCAACATTTTAAAGATTTTTTTCATGTGTATGGCTTTTTTTGATTGGTATTAATCGATTTTAGATAGCTGATTTCAGGATGTACATTGATGGCGCGTTCGTTGGATATATGGCCTTGACTTCAACATAGACGCACAGTGAACAAATGTGGTGAACTAATAAGGAAATAATGGGGAATGATACTTTAACGCGTTGGTATTCCTGGAACGGAAATGGTTTGCATGGTACTGGAAATGTGTGAACATAGGACATAATACATTCGGTTCGAGTTTTGACTTAAAATGATTGCAGATGAATAAAAACGATTTTTTTAAACAAATGTGTGTCCGTTTATGTATTCATATCAACAACGTGTTTTAAGCGAGTTTCAGGTGGAGGATCTTCGTCACACATCTGCCCTTAACCGGCAGCATCTTGGCTGTCTCCCCATTAACATGTGTTCCTGGAGGGGAAAGGGCCCCATTATTTATAGATTCACAACGTTACGGTCCCTAATCATCAAGTATACAGGGAATCCTGTACGCTAAGACATGTGAACTGTAACACTATAAACGATAACACGAAACATTAAAATACTATAAACTAGTTTCATCATTTATAACACCAAAAACAGAGGTACGGTATTATAATCTCATTTCAAGAATTAGAATTACAATGTGATTGTATTAGAATCACACTCTGCGCATATGTATGTATAGTCTACGTGCAAGCGAACTGTGCTCGTATGTACGTATGTAATATGTATCTATGGCCTTTGGACATGCGAACCGGTGGTCGAATATGCGAATTGGGGGGTGCAGGATTATGATCGGATTAAAATGATTAGAATATCACTTTGGTAGTATTAGAATAACACTGAGCTAGAATGTATGTTATATGTAGATGCACATCGGGAGTCGTAAATGCGGCTTGGGTGGTGCCAGATTTAGAATCGCATCAAAATTATTAAAATCGCACCATGGTCGTATTAGAATCAAGCTGCCCACTACTGGGAGAATGTTACATCGCAATGGCACCGAATAGCAATATACAGCATTGATATTTTGTGTGGAGCCTACGAGTGCAACCTTGCGCATTTTGACCTGGTTCTCGACGCCCGTCCCGCGCCCATGGTAGAATCTTGTGCATGTCGGGGCATCAAGGGTTCGCACCACAGCCTTGAAGGATTAGGCAGGTCCCTGGCTTCTTTTGGAGAATTTGACCAGGCTCCAGGCACCGGTTCCTCGCACGTGGCGGATCCTTGAGGCACCCCGGGCCTCAGGGGCTCGAAAACTGTGGGCGCCACAACACATTTCATTTGGAGTACGGTTTCCGTTGCCGAGAGCCCCACCGCGTTGGACACACCAGACTTGGGCTGTACAGGACATGGGGATGAGCTGTCTGGGTGGGGACGGACATAACTACATGGGTACACACTGCGGCCATTTCACCTCTATGACTTCTACCTGTCGCCGCCGTGGGCGGAGCAACTTGGTGGACGTACCCGGTGTCACCTTTGGGCAACACAACCTGTCTACGACCGCCCATGGAAGCACGTGTTCCCGCCGCCCCGTGTTCTTTTAATTAGCGGCTTGCTAATCGTTTCACAACGTTCTGGTCCCGAAACCCGAAGTATACGGGGGATCACCTGTACTCTATAACATGTAAACTGATAACACTATGAACAATCACACTAAACATTCAACGACTTTAATTATTTTTTAAATAATAGATTCCACCATAAACGGAGTTACGGTATGAGAATGTCATTAGAAGCATTTTAATCGCTCATATGTTTGTAAAGTGTAGGTTCAATCGAATCGGGGGACGGATATGCGAACTGTGGGGGTTTGCAGGGTTAGAATCGCATTCAAATTATTCTAGTAACAATATGTTCGTATGCGCATTTTACTGTGCTTGAATATATGTTATGTGCAAATGCGAATCGTTAGTCATAAATGCTAGGCAGGGTTTAAAATGTGCATGTTTAATCCAGTGTTAACGTTAATCCAGTGTTAGCATTATATTTAAGGACAATATTGTTAATATCTATTCGTCTGGACATGGCACGTGCCTTGTTCGTCTCGATCAACCAAAATGAGTACAATGTCGGTCATAAAGGTGTGCGAGTTCATTCATAAGCAGTATTCGCTGATCCCCGATGACACAGACCTACACCCAAACAAAGTATTCTTTATTAAATTAATTATCAGCTCAGACATCATCTCAATCATTTACAAAGACGTGTGGGGTCCCGCGAGAGCAGGGCCTGGCAACAAATATCTGAGCAGCGGAAGCAGCAGAATCAGAAGTAGCTGCGTCGCCCTCGAAATGTGATGTTGCTGCTGCTGCATTTGCTTCTGCGTCGATCAAGATTGACGCTCTTGATCAACTCTGACATTGTAAACTCTCACATGTTAAACTCTAACATAGTGAAATATAATATTATAACCTATGAACTACAACCTATCCATTGTTACGCTTTAAAATACGATTAACTGTTATAGTGCAGAACCACATAATTGGAGGTGTGGGATTATAATCGCATACTAATCATTAGACTCGCACTGAGCTAATTAGAATCACACTGTGGTTGTACGTATGGTAAGTTAATATGACAACTGGGGGTAGGATATGCAGGATTAGAATCGAATTACAATTATTCGAATCCCACTCGTCGTATTAGAATCACACTGTCCACTGTTGGATGAATGTGTGGTATCAATGGAATTGATTAGCTATTTTCAGTATATACACACATTTAAAGAGTATAACAATCACACATTATAACATTTATACAATACACATGATTAAAAAAACGTATTTAAACATTTCTATTCATTTTTTTAAAACTGAGAATGTTGTTGTCCATGTGGGGAGATGGAGCGCAGTGGATCGTATCGTCTAAGCTGCTTTTCGGAATCCGTGTGATAACCCAGTCACATCGCCTAACTACAGTGACAGAACCTTACCCAAACTACATCTCCCCAACAAGGCAGCCTTACCGATGCTGTGTATTGTGTTTATGGGATAACAGAGGTGTGTATTTTCTCATACGCCTTGCCCAAAAAGACTGAGTGTCCGCTAAACATCCTAGCCCATAAACCACTATTGGTGACAGTGTTGTTTGAGAGCAGCTATTAAAGTCGCTTTGGCAAATGAGGTGGTGGCTGGCCAAACCATGCCTCGCTGTTTGTCTCCAGAGTTATGACGGATACCAACCAGACCAAGCGGAGACCACGTACCAGATCGGATTTTGGTTACTGATGTTAGAGTGATTGTGTTGCAAGTGTGGTCACTACGCGTCTGTACGTGCTCGCTCCCGAAGCTTGGCGGTTTTTGGCAACGCCACGGGGCTGCATTCACTTTAAATTGAGGACAATGGAGGGCATGGGGAACGTGTTTTTCCATTTATTCAAAATAAGCGCATAATTACACACTAAGATGCACTTACATATTCATGCATGAAGCACAATGGGCACATTACCCTTCGGTATGTTAATAGACATGCGGATTGTACCTTCAAAAATTCACAATCGAATGCAAATATCCTGAAAGACAAAGGATTGGATCCTAGGGGGGGAGTTATAAGGCGGCTCAGAAGCAGAGCTCAATGCCATTTCGAGAGGGAACTTGATGAGGTTGGACGCTCGACTCGTCGCTCTGCTGATCGCCCTTCAACCGCGAGACAACGCAGCCTGGCGGGTTCCAGACATCGATATACCGTGAATCTCCAAGTAAGTGTCTATTTTCGCGGATAAACTCTTAAAAGTGTTCGTCGTCAAATTAGCGGGATTTTTTTTCGTCTCGGTTAGACGCGAGTGTCGTTCTTGTTTTAGCAGTTAACAAAATCCAAAACTCAACGCTAAACATCCTTGCGGCCGAAAGCGTACTTTTGACTCGATGGCTCACATGGAGCAGATACGCTCTCCACAGCCCCACGTACACGGAGGCAAGAATCCATTCAATTGCTCAGTGTGTGGGAAGACATTTTCACGGCCATCACATCTTCAAGCTCATCAGAAAACACACACTGGCGAAAAGCAATTCCCGTGCCCTGTGTGTGGGAAGGCATTTGCACGGTCATCAACTCTTCAGAGTCACCAGAAAACACACATGGGCGAGAGGCCATTCCTGTGCCCTGTATGTGGGAAGACATTTGCACAGGCATCAACTCTTCAAACTCATCAGAGAACACACACAGGCAAGAAGCCATTCCTTTGCTCTGTGTGTGCAAAGACATATGCACAATCATCAACCATGAACAGGCATCAGAAGATCCACAATGATAGGAAACTGAAATCAAAAGCTGAAATTCAAGGTGCTGCAATGAGTCCTAATTTTGACTATTTTAGTTTTACAGTTTGTGAGAGTTTAATGACGTGCCCAGTGGTGGTTTGTAATGTTATCGGATTACTTGCCGAAGTGGTGTGATGAGCACCGGTTGTGAGACTGTTCAATTGTAGTCGTTATATGTTCCTGTTGAGCTCAAGTTGGAATGCGTCTGTAGGTACATCTTTACTCAACATTTTATAGATTTTTTGTCAAGTGTATGGCTTTTTTTGATTGGTATTAATCGATTTTAGATAGCTGATTTCAGGATTACATTGATGACGCGTTCGTTGGATATATGGCCTTGACTTCAACATAGACGCACAGGTGAACAAACGTGATGAACTAATAAGAAAATCATGGGGAATTATCCTTTAACGCTTTGGTATTCCCGGAACGGAAATGGTTTGCATTGTACTGGAAATGTGTGAACATAGGACATAATAAATATTCCCTTCGAGTTTTGACGTAAAAATTATTGCAGATGAATAAAAACGTATTTTTAAACAATGTTTGTCCGGTCTTTATTTTATGATGTTCCTAGCAAAAACATGTTAAGGGAATTTCAGGTGGAGGATCTCCGTCACACAAGTGTACCCTTAACCGGCATCATCTTAGCTGTCTACCCGATTAACACGTGTTCCTTGAGGGGAAAGGTCCCCGTAGTTAATCGTTCATCAACGTACCAGTCCTTGATCCCGAAGTGTGCCGGAGATAAACTGTACTCTATAACATGTAAACTGTAACACTATAAACGATAACGCACACGCGCGACCGCCGCGAGCGGGTGATAACGTTCGTGCTTCCATGGGCGGTCGTAGACAGGTTGTATTGCCCAAAGGTGACACCGGGTACGTCCACCAAGTTGCTCCGCCCACAGCGGCGACAGGTAGAAGTCATAGAGGTGAAATGGCCGCAGTGTGTACGCATGTAGTTATGTCCGTCCACACCCAGACAGCTCATCCCCATGTCCTGTACAGCCCAAGTCTGGTGTGTCCGACGTGGTGGGGCACTCGGCAAGGGGAACCGTACTCTAAATGAAATGTGTTGTGGCGCCCACAGTTTCCGAGCCCCTGAGGCCCGGGGTGCCTCAAGGATCCGCCACGTGCGAGGAACCGGTGCCTGGATCCTGGTCAAATTCTTCAAAAGAAGCCAGGGACCTGCCTAATCCTTCAAGGCTGTGGTGCGAACCCTTGACGCCCCGAAATGCACAAGAATCTACCATGGGCGCGGGACGGGCGTCGAGAACCAGGTCAAAATGCGCAAGGTTGCGCTTGTAGGCTCCACGCAAAATATCAATGCTGTATATTATTAATTCTGACCTTACTCCCTCCCTTTGATGCTGCTAATCCTGCATAATGCATGGACATAATGACTTTGAAACCCCCCCGCCCACCTCCTACGCATTTCACAAGTAGTGCAAATCACATATCTGCATTTCCCATAAATATGCTAACATCCTCTTGATATGGAAATTATTTTGTCAAGACGCTCTTCGCTCCTCCATCGCAGCATAAATAGTCGCTCCAAGCCTGGAGCGTGACATACAGACTACGTCTACTTGACGGACCTGTTCTCCACCTGAGGACGGCTGCTTGCGTTGTGGCCGAAACGTCGTGAGAATTATTTTATTATGTTTTATTTTTATTATTTTATTACTTCCCTTCTACGTGACTTTACCGAAAGAACCAAGAAGATGTATATTGCTATTCGGTTCCATTGAGATGGAACATTCTACCAGCAGTGGGCAGCTTGATTCTAATACGACCATGGTGCGATTTTAATAATTTTGATGCGATTCTAAATCTGGCACCACCCAGGCCGCATTTACGACTCCCGATGTACATCTACATTTAACATACATTCTAGCTCAGTGTAATTCTAATACGACCCTAGTGTTATTCTAATAATTTTAATCCGATCATAATCCTGCACCCCCCCGTTCGCATATCCGACCACCGGTTCGCATGTCCAAAGGCAAAAGATGCATATTACATACGTACACTAGCAGTCGCCGCCCGCTTCGCGGGCGGTGTGTATATACTTGGTTGGTGGAGAGTTGAAAGTGGCTGGACACAATAGACATGTTTTGGTGATTGTTTTATGTTTATTTTTGTGAGGTTATATGTATTTTAATGAGACGCTCAATCGACAATATTAAATAATGCAACTTATTCAAATATAGAATGCAACTTATTCAAATATCTGCCGATCCACGATATTCTTCGTGTACACTCCGTCTTCCTCCTCGTCGTGAGGTCCCTCAATAAGCGCCTTGATGTTGGATCTTGCCGTGACTCGCGATAGTGCCACGTACAGTTGGCCGTGCGAGAAGCATGGCGTTGGTAGATATAATCCCAGGTTGTGAACAGTTTGCCCTTGCGCCTTGTTGATGGTCATCATGAAGGCTGGGACAATGGGGAACTGCTTGCGCCGAAGTCGAAATGGGAAGTCCTTCGTGTCGTCGTCGCTGATGAAGATGATCCGAGGGATCAACACCTTCTTACCGTTATGGGTTCCTGTCATGATAGTCGCGCGAATGACGGGTGACTTCATTTCCACGATGCGAAGCCGTGTTCCATTGCACAGGCCAGCGTCCGGGTTCAAGTTGCGCATCATAATCACTGGGATGCGTTTGTTGAGGATCAACTTGTGTGGCGGAACCCCGTTGATGTTCACCGAGTTGAGGACCTCTGTCTCAAAGAATGCTGACCCTGCTCTCTCGTTGTCCTCAACCGAATCTGTAGACAGGTACACTTGTGGAGCTTCTCTGAGGCGATCCGCGACAGCCTCATTCACTCGCTGCACAGCGGTGTTGGTCGGCGTCAGAATAGTGCGGCGAGCGAAGTAGTCGTTCGTTGCCACCGTAGGGTCATTCAATTCATCTGCACTGTACATGGCATCGACAATCCTCTTCAACCCGATTGGCACGGGCAGATGACTGCCGTCCTCATCTCCGTCGATGTCTGGGTCGTATTCAGGATTGTCGATCACCATGGTACGCGGAATCTTCATGCAATCCGGACCGAGGTCAGGATCATCTTCATGCCTATCCTCTCCGACTTCCAAAAGAAAAGTTCTGCGGCTGATTCTTGGTTCTCTGCGCACTGGACTCTCATGTTCACAGTCAGATGAACTTGCTTGAAGTGGGACCGCAGGTTGGACGACTTGAAACACGCATCCACAGTATCATCTGGTGTTCCTTTCTTGACAACTGGCAGAATCTGTCGAAAGTCATCGGACAGGACAACCACTTTGCCTCCAAACGGTTCATGCAGATTGTCCAAAATATCGCGAAGCGTGCGATCCACCGCTTCAAACGCAAACCGGTGCATCATTGGGGCTTCATCCCAAACGATAAGACTTGCCTCCTTGATAAATGCTTTGAGCTTGGACTGTTTGCGAATGAAGCATGTGGATATGTTCGTCGGTTTCAACGGGATCTTGAACGTGCAATGCGCGGTACGGCCGCCTGGAAGCAGCAGCGAGGCAATGCCGCTGGAAGCAACAGTAATCGCAATCTTGCCTTGAAGACGTATCTTCGCCAGCACATGGTTGAGCAGCGTGGACTTCCCCGTGCCGCCCGGACCATCGATGAAGAACAGCTTTTGATCGGGTTGACTGTCTTCGACTGAGCCAACAATTTCGTCGTAGATTTCTGTCTGGTTCGTGTAGAGTCTGTCAGCATCTTCTACGATGTCTTGTAGCTCGTTTCTATCATATCCTTCCAATTCGCGGCGGATATGGATCTTCGCAAGCTGCGAGTCCAAGACCAAGTGTGGGTACTCGGAAAGCTGCGGGAGGTCGTCAAAGTCCGACAGAGCCATCCCACCTGCCGTGAGGAACTCGTGGAGGCTGTGAAGGGTCTTGAACTTTACCATTTGTTCTTTGTTGGTCAGCTGGCGGTACTGGTACTCGTAATCGCGAGCCAATTCGTCGTAGAATTTATCCCAGAGATCCTTCGTATCTGCTGGCTTGGAATACAGCAGAATCGTAGCGAAGAGTTGACGAAGCTGGTACGGCATCTGAAAGAGCGAGGCTTCTTCCAGACACGCAACCCATTCGCAATCGCTCTCAAGGTAGCCTGCTCGCATTTGATCAACTCTGATATTGTATACTCTCACATGTTAAGCTCTGTCATAGTGAAACATAATAGTATAACCTATGAACTACAACCTATCCATTGTAACGTTGTAAAAGAAGATTACCCATTGGGTTTCACTCCCTCGTCGAGAAGGCCGCTCTCTTCCTTTTATAAAGTTACATGCTAATTTCTCTGCATTCACTTTAAATCGAGGACGAAACTTTTCCATTTATTCAAAATAAGCGCACAATTACACACTGAGATGCACTTACATATTCATGCATGAAGCACAATGGGCACATTACTCTTCGGTATGTTAATAGACATGCGGATTGTGCCTTCAAATTAACAATCAAATGCAAATATCCTGAAAGACAAAGGATTGGATCCTAGGGGGGGAGTTATAAGGCGGCTCAGAAGCAGAGCTCAATGCCATTTCGAGAGGGAACTTGATGAGGTTGGACGCTCGACTCGTCGCTCTGCTGATCGCCCTTCAACCGCGAGACAACGCAGCCTGGCGAGCACAATTGCTGAGTCGACAGTTAGGCGACTTTCGGGAGAGTTCGTGGCGACATCTTCAGACGGGTTACAGACATCGATATACCGTGAATCTCCAAGTAAGTGTCTATTTTCGCGGAAAAACTCTTAAACGTTTTCGTCGTCAAATTTACGGGATTTTTTTGCGTCTCTGTTAGACGCGAGTGTCGTTCTTGTTTTAGCAGTTAACAAAATCCAAAACTCGACGCTAAACATCCTTGCGGCCGATAGCGTACTTTTGACTCGATAACACCGCTACTGTTACTACGCTCACATGGAGCAGAGACGCTCTCCACAGCCCCACGCACACGGGGGCAAGGAACAATTCAATTGCTCTGTCTGTGGGAAGGCATTTTCATGGTCATCAAGTCTTAAGAGACACCAGAGAACACACACGGGTGAGAAGCCATTCCTGTGCTCTGTGTGTGGGAAAACATTTGCACACTCATCACATCTTCAGAGTCATCAGAGAACACACACGGGCGAGAAGCCATTCCTGTGCCCTGTGTGTGGGAAGACATTTGCACAGGCATCAAATCTTCAAACTCACCAGAGAACACACACGGGCGAGAAGCCATTCCTGTGCCCTGTGTGTGGGAAGACATTTGCAAACTCATCACATCTTCAGAGTCATCAGAGAACACACACGGGCGAGAAGCCATTCCTGTGCCCTGTGTGTGGGAAGACATTTGCACACTCATCACATCTTCAGCGTCACCAGAGAGCACACACGGGCGAGAAGCCATTCTTGTGCCCTGTGTGTGGGGAGGCATTTGCACACTCATCAAACATGAACAGGCATCAGAAGGTCCACAATGATAGGAAACTGAAATCAAAAGCTGAAATTCAAGGTGCTGCAATGAGTCCTGAAGAAGTTTCCACCTTCGATCCCATGCAGTTGGATCCCGAGAGATGGCTGGATGTAATGGAGTGGCTCGAGAGTCAACCAGAGAGCTCGGGGTGACTGAAAAAAATTAAGTCATGTGGTTATACCTTTTAATCCCTATCGAGTACTTTTTGGTTATAATTTTGACCATTTTAGTTTTACAGTTTTTGTGAGTTTAATTACGTGCACAGTGGTGGTTTGTAATGTTATCGGATTACTTGCCGAAGTGGTGTGATGAGCACTGATTGTGAGAGGGTTCAATTGTAGTCATTAAGTGTTCCTGTTGAGCTAAAGTTGGAATGCGTCTGTAGTTAGATCTTTACTCAACATTTTAAACGGTTTTTTTCAAGTATATAGCTTTTTTTATTGGTATTAATCAACTTTAGATAGCCGATTCCAGGATGTACATTGATGACGCGCTCGTTGGATATATGGCCTTGACTTCAACATAGACGCACAGTGAACAAATGTGGTGAACTAATAAGGAATATCATGGGGAATGATACTTTAACGCTTTGGTATTCCTGGAACGGAAATGGTTTGCATTGAACTGGAAATGTGTGAACATATGACATAATAAATATTCCCTTCGAGTTTTGACGTAAAAATGATTGCAGATGAATAAAAACGTATTTTTAACAAATGTTTGTCCGTTCTTTATTTTATAATGTTCCTAGCAAAAACATGTTAAGATAATTTCAGGTGGAGGATCTCCGTCACACAAGTGTGCCCTTAACCGGCAGCATCTTAGCTGTCTACCCTATTAACACGTGTTCCTTGAGGGGAAAGGCCCCCGTAGTTAATCGTTCATCAACGTACCAGTCCCAAATCCCGAAGTATGTCGGGGATAAACTGTACTCTATAACATGTAAACTGTTATACTATACACGATAACACTAAACATTAAACAATTATAAACTAGTGTTTTAATTTATAACCATATAAACGTAGGTAAGGTATTATAATATCATCAGAAGCATTATAATCACAGTGTGGTTGTATAATAATCGCACTCTGCTCATGTAACACTCAAGTGACAGAACTCAACAAAAAAACGCCGCAATAAAAAGAACAACATCTATGGACAAATCCTAAAAACAGACAACACACGCACGTTAGTAGCTGTTAGCAGAAGACAACACCGAGCACCTTCAACTATACACATCATACAGCCAACTCGTAAATGGGAAGGTATATGACAGCCTTCCCTGCTGTCGATGGGGACAAGCAGCGAGTGTTTAACTCCATTGTTTCAGAATCCGTGTCATCACCCGGCCACAGCGCCTTAGCCAAACTACATCTCCACAACAAGGCAGCCTTCCCTATGCTGTGTATTTTAGCAGTATATTTACTGACGCACTTGAAGATAACAATTAGTCTAGAAATGGCAGCCGACTTGTTCTACCAACATGATTTCAATTTATATCCGAAAGAAGTATGAGTTCATTCATGAGTAGTATTCACTAAGCCCCGATAGCACTAACCTACACACAGTTATGATTAAACAAAGTAAAAATTAGTCGCTCATCCCAGCTCAGACATGATCATAGCAATTATTTCCAAATCCTTGTCGGGTCCCACGAGAACAGGGGGCCTCGCTCGCGTGGCGACAGCGATCGCCTCACTCCTCCGCCGCGTGCTGCTTTGTGGTGGCAGGTCCACCGCCCAGTAGGGGTGGTGGCGGTGGTCGTGCATCGGTGCCAACCGTGACCGCTATCACCACACTACCCACTCACCCCGTGATACTCGCTACACACACCACACGGTTCCCCAGAGAGACGGTGCCACTGGGACCACAGCTGGGGAATGAAGCTGAGCAGCAGATGCCAGGACTACAGCGGAGAATGACTGCTGCCGGCGCAGCCAATGACATCGCCTGTTGCAATCCTTGCTCTGTGGGCGCGCGAGTCAGTGGGGAGGGGGGTGTGGACGTCATCGCTCACCCCCCATGCACAAATCATTTTCTTTTTAACTCCTCTATACCCGGTCGATATCCCTGTACCGATATTAGTATTATTCCTACCAGCCCACCCCGCAAGGTCCTGTTTTCAAATACGTATTTAAAAATATGTTTTCAATTTTTTAAAAATTTAGAATGTCGTTGTCCATGTGGGGAGCGCAGTGGATCGTTTCGTCTAAGCTGCTTTTCGGAATCCGCGTGATAACCCAGTCACATCGCCTAACTCCAGTGACAGCGCCTTACCCAAACTACATCTCCCCAACAAGGCAGCCTTCCCGCTGCTGTGTATTGTGTTTATGGGATAACAGGGGTGTGTATTATCCCATACGCCTTGACCAAAACGACTGATTATCCGCTTAACACCATAGCCCGTAAAACACTATTGGAGACAGTGAGCAGTCGAGTGTGGTCACTACGCGTCTGTACGTGCTCCCTCCCGAAGCTTGGCGGTTTTTGGCAACGCCACGGGGCTGCGTTCACTTTAAATCAAAGACAACGGAGGGCATGGCGAACGTGTTTATCCATTTATTCAAAATTTGTTGTTGATAATAATTCGTCTGGACATGGCACGTGCCTTATTCTACTTGATTAACAAAAAATAGTACAATGCCATACAGTAGTGTGATTTCATTCATGAGTAGTATTCATAGAGCCCCAATGACACTAACCTACCTAAAGTTATGGTTAAAAAAGTAATCTTGAGTGACTTAATTCTCAGCTCAGACATGATCATCGCAATCATTTCCAAAGACGTGTGGGGTCCTGCGAGAGCAGGTCCCGACTACAAACAGCTGGGCAGCAGAATCGGAAGTAGCTGCGTCGCCTTCGAAATGTGATGTTGCTGATGTTGTTGTCGCTGCTGCTGTTGTTGCTGCTGTAGTTGCTTCTGTTGCTGTGATAAACGCAGGTAAGTGGTGTTCCGTGATGGGATGACGCCTTTGATTAAAGCCTCTGATCAAACTCACCCGATTGACGCCATTGATCGTCGCATTTGATCAACTCTGATATTGTATACTCTCACATCTTAAGCTCTATCATAGTGAAACATAATATTATAACCTATGAACTACAACCTATCCATTGTAACCAGTGGCGGCTCCTGCAAAATCTCTCAGGGGGGGCAAATGTCTGGATGATTAAGGTCCACCCATGCAATTAATAAATTAACAGCTTAAGCATGTAAAGGCAACTTCACTTCTTTAATATTAATGAAAAATAAAGTGACTCTTACAATACATCTTGTTTGTTTATATACTCACTATTAAAACAAACCACTCAAGTTTATTTTATTAAAGATTCCACTCGGTAGCGATAAATTATATTGTTGGATGAAACGTGCTTACGTATGATGACGTAAGCACGTATGATGACGTTAGCACGTTGGGGCTTGCCCTCCCGGAGCCATAGAGAATGCATTGGAGCGCCCCCGTTCGAAAAAAAACATCTTTCAATGTAAGTCTATGGGGCCACTCGGGGCGATTCTCAGCCGGAGTGAAATTGCCCCAAAAGAGGCGGTACTCCACAGAACGTAGCATGACGCTGATTGGACTATATCCAGAGGCTGCAGTGACGGCTAGCGTGACTGTGGTTGAATGACATTGGTGGTGCGTCGCCCAATCGCCCTAATGAAGAAACCGCCCCTGATTGTAACGCTGTAAAAGAATATTACCTATTTGGTTTCACTCCCTCGTCGAGAAGGCCGCTCTCATCCTTTTCTAAAGTTACATGCTAATTTCTCTGCATTCAATTTAAATCGAGGACAAAGTTTTCCCATTTATTCAAAATAAGCGCACAATTACACACTGAGATGCACTTACATATTCATGCACGAAGCACAATGGGCACATTACCCTTCGGTATGTTAATCTACATGCGGATTGTACCTTCCAAAATTAACAATCGAATGCAAATATCCTGAAAGACAAAGGATTGGATCCTAGGGGGGGAGTTATAAGGCGGCTCAGAAGCAGAGCTCAATGCCATTTCGAGAGGGAACTTGATGAGGTTGGACGCTCGACTCGTCGCTCTGCTGATCGCCCTTCAACCGCGAGACAACGCAGCCTGGCGAGCACAATTGCTTCGGAGAGTTCGTGGCGACATCTTCAGACGGGTTTCAGACACCGATATATATCGTGAATCTCCAAGTAAGTATCTATTTTCGCGGATAAAATCTTAAACGTGACCGTCGTCAAATTTACGGGATTTTTTTGCGTCTCGGTTAGACGCGAGCGTCGTTCTTGTTTTAGCAGTTAACAAAATCCAAAACTCGACGCTAAACATCCTTGCGACCGATAGCGTACTTTTGACTCGATAACACCGCTGCTGTTACTACGCTCACATGGAGCAAAGACGCTCTCCACAGCCCCACGCACACGGGGGCAAGGAACAATTCAATTGCTCTGTGTGTGGGAAGGCATTTTCATGGTCATCAAGTCTTAAGAAACACCAGAGAACACACACGGGTGAGAAGCCATGCCTGTGCCCTGTGTGTGGGAAGAAATTTGCAAACTCATCACATCTTCAGAGTCATCAGAGAACACACACGGGCGAGAAGCCATTCTTGTGCTCTGTGTGTGGGAATACATTTTCACAGTCATCACATCTTCATAGTCATCAGAGAACACACGGGCGAGAAGCCATTCCTATGCCCTGTGTGTGGGAAGACATTTGCAGACTCATCAACTCTTCAAACTCATCAGAGAACACACACGGGCGAGAAGCCATTCTTGTGCCCTGTGTGTGGGAAGGCATTTGCACGGTAATCAACTCTACAAGATCATAAGAAAACACACACGGGCGAGAAGCCATTCTTGTGCCCTGTGTGTGGGAAGGCATTTTCACA